ATTGAAAATAAAGGCAATCCTACAAAATATTAACAATAAAATTATAAAATATATATTTATATGATTAATATAAAAAATTTCATTCAAATTGATACGATAGTTCGTAAGTTATCTCAATTTAAAAATTTGATATAATTTTTCAAAAATGATTGACATCACAAATGCCCGGTGACTTTTGATATCCCACTGTACATGTTAAGTTCTTTTTTTTTGATAATTTTGTTAATTAAACCTTAAAGTAGCTTTTTACATAAGTTTTTATTTATTATTTTAAGTATAGAAAATTTATAGTAAGTTATTATATAAGTATTTAATAAGAGAGACTAATTTGCGATATATTTGTATAGTATTTCTTTAGATAGATAAGTAATAGTATTTTATTAGTAGTAAATATCAAATATTTACCAAACAGGATTAACTGGCGATAACGATCAGGCTTGTTTATTGGATATGAGAGAATCTACGAATATAATTTAAAAGAAATGTATTCTAACTGAATCAGTAATGATATTTTCTAATAAAGCTTATTTTTAGGTTTAATTATCTAGCCTGTTTAGATATTTAATATTAGATATTTTATATTAGTTTATTTATTTATTGAAAGATAATATTACATATGAAGCTGGTCTATCATAAAGCAATGAAAGTACTGAAGTTAAACTACTAAAAAAATCAGTTAGACAGCATTTAGAATGATGAAAAATTTTGATAATTAGATCATATGTAAAATACAGAAGATGCTAAAGCTATAATTTTAGCATTATACTTATAATATATTCTTATTGCAAAAGATTACTGATCAAATTTTGAGTTAAAAGAACATTTATAAATAATAACAAATTTAGAAAATTTAGATTGTGATTTAATAGTATTCTTATCTTACAGATATACTTAGTTTTGTTAAGTAGAAGATATATTGTATTATATTGATCAACCTAAATGCAAATTCTTTTCAACATAAGGATCTCCTCCTAGGATATATAGTTATATAAATCATAATGTTTATTGAAATGGAATTTATCAAATCAATATTTATCTTATCTTATAAGGTGATGTGTTGCTAATTTCAATGGAATATTATTCAGGCTTCTGATTAGATCTTCTAAGATGGTAAAATCAAGATTATTTATTAAAGAATAAATAGTACCAGTAAAGATATTCTAAAGAAAGATAAGTATAGAGTCATCTTCAATTAGTGTCTATCGATAGAGAGATATTATATACGAATGTAAAGATTACAGAGATAAAATGATAATCATAATAACTAACAAATATAATACAACTTGATATAAAAATTACTCAAAGAGAAGAATGACATCTAACTGTATAGTATTCCATTCTGAAATGGCTTATTTAATGGTTTAATTGTATATAACCAATTTTTGAATATAGGTTCATGCTTAGGTAGATTTTTAGGATTGAGACAATTAGAAATTGTGAATATTTGGGAATACTAGATATAGGGTGAAGCTTTAAAGATGATAAATAGGTATGTATAATAGCCAAATTACATTTAAATTTAGTTTTAAAATTCCTTAACATAGTAAATGTAATAGAACAAATTTTTATTCTTATTATATTAGCAGTAATAGGAATTGTTACAAAATTCTTGTGTTTCATTTTATTAAGTATCCTGATACTTGAAATTTTTAATAATGAAAATCTATTATTCATCAAACATATGTGATTACAGACTAATACCATAATTCTGGCCATTTTAGATAAGTATACAGAGAAAGTTTAGCAATACAAAATTTACCAACTTTATATAAACGAAAGCTACAAATTTTTTTTTGATACAATCTTAAAAATAATAGATGTTATTTCATTATTTAATTTTTTTATAAATGATAAGTTTTAATTTTGATTATTTTTCTAAAAAAAAAAAAATTAAGTAAAATAAAATCTATTACAGATTATTTTCTTAAAATAAAATTAATTTAGAATACCTAAATATTTTTATATTTATATCTTTATTAAGATCTATTATTATATTATAACATTTAACGTAATATCTAACTTTTAATTAAATTAGCTGCTAGTCTTTAATAGGCCATTAAGTAAATAATTGAAGGAAGAAATGTACATGTCGTGAAAAGACTTTAATGATTTTAAACAATATAAGTATTACAAGAAGTATTAATAATTAGAAAATAGATAATTTCATTATTACTAATTCTTAAGATGCAGTGTATCTTTTGAAAAATTGACAAAGTTTTTAAAAAATTGAATTTATTATTTTTTTAAATTTTCAAATTTAATAAATCTTAAATTGCAAAGTTATATATGAAAACTGTTAAAAGATAGCATCTTAATAAATCATCATTTTTTAGTATTTTTCTTAGTTTTAATTTAACATGATAGTTTATATAGTCATTTGACTATCTAAGTTATATAATTAACTTTTAGTTAATGCTATGTATTTGCTAACTTTTAAAAATAATAAATTTTTTAAATGCAGCATGATAATAATTAAGTCAATTAATTTTTATACTATATGCATCATTAGATCACTTAAAACTTTAATGAATTTTACATACATGAATTATTTTAGATTTGTTAACATTTGATATTTTAATAAATAAATTTATAGCTAATATGAAACACTAAATAAAATTTAATAATCTTTAATAAGAAATGATTCATAAATAAAAAAAGTTGCTTATCATTCAAAATATTTAAAAGAAAATATTTTAAATTTGCTAATACATTATACTATTTTCTCATTTTTCAATCTGACTATCACTCCACTTATACTGAAAAGCCATTAAGACCAAAACTTATGCCTGTATCACAAAATTTCATTATTATTAAGTCTGCTAACTTTTTGAGTAACCTTTGTTTATAATTATATCTCTCATTACTTTTTGGTTATATTCAAGTCATGTAATTGATTGTTGAATTGCATCTTCAAGTTTCATCTTGCTTGCTAGGTCAATATTACCAGAACCTTGTTTGCTCAAAAGATTTTAATTTAGAATATTGATGTATAATAAATATTAAACAAATGCTTACATGAAGTATATTATATAAGTTATATGCATAAATTTCTAAATGATTTCGTAACTGTAATTTTGTGAATCAATCTTTGTCATTTATGATAGTTATATTATTTGATATTCCAGTTATATTATCAGCAGCAGATACCTCTATAATAATACAAGATAAAAGACTATTATGAAAATGGTAACAATAATGATAATAAAAGTTAAATATTTAATACATGCATTTAAGATACCTTTTCATCAATATCAAAGATAACTTCTATTTGTGAAACTCCTTTTAATGCTGGATGAATTTCAGACAATTTGAATTCTTCAAAAAAATTGTTATCCTTAGTATGAGCACATTTACCTTCATAAATTTGAATAAACATTTTCAATTAATTTTCAAATCTGTTAAAATAATTTCAGATTTTTTCATAAGCAGTGTCATGATACCGCTAGAAGTTTCAATACTCAGAGATAAAATAGTGACATTGAGTAAAAAAACTCTTTAGTTTTTTCAGAAGTATCACTAAACAAAATAGCTTTTTTATAATAAAAAAAGATTATTAATTTTATTATGCAACAATGTTATTATCATTTTCGAATCAGTGTAATCAGATAATTTGTCAATCAATTAAAAAAATTGTAAACACTAAAAACATTAAAAATAACAAAAAAAATTAAAAACACTAGAAAAATATTTAAATAATATTTGAAAAAAATAAAAAAGTAATATTAAAACAAAAAATAAATTTTACATTAAAAATAATAAATTATATAATAAAATTAAACAATTTTTTCATTCTCATTATTGAAAAAATAAAAAAATGAATAATTTCTCTAGTAATTTAAAACATCAATATTTCTAAATATATTTATAACAAGAACATATTGGATCCATGAAAAAAATGCATTTTTCTAAAAAATCAAAATTTCATATTAGAATGAATTATTATAAAAATAATAAAGACTCATCCAAAAAACCATTTCTCAAAATATATTTTATAAAAAAAAAGATAAGTATAAGCTAAAACTAAGCTTTTAGAAGAAAACTTACTTAGGAATTGCAACAGGAATCTCACTAATAATTGCAGTAATTGCTAGGAAATCATTTTAAAATCACTAGAAAGCTAGGAATCATTTTATAAGCTAAAAGAAACTTCTACATATTAAACCTCACTAATACATAAGGCTTAAATACTCTATGTTATAAAGGTTAATAAAAGTTAAAAAGTTGTGAAAAAATAGTTTCTTTAAGAAAGTTTTTTTAAAGTTTACTTTAGTGTAATCTGAAAATCCTTTTTTTATTATAATTGATCGACAAATCACCTGATCATACCATTTTAAAAATGGCGAAAATATAATATTATTTTAATTGATCAGGTGATTATCATATGATATATTTGAAAATCAGATGAGATTTATATTAAATTAAAATTAAAAATTATGTCAGTGCTGCTATAGTATAGCGGTATAAAGCACTTGATATTCAACTCTCGAATACAAGGTTCAAGTAAAACTAATACCAAAAAAAAATAAAATAAAATAAAAAAAAAAAAAAATTTTTTTTTTCTTATTTTTCTTATTTTAAAGTATATTACATAAAATATGATTTTGCCCATTATATTACAATTTCCAAAAAATTTTCAAACTTACATTTTTCCTACGACAAACGACAAGTTATATTGGTAGGCTAAAAAAAATTATTAGTGATGAAATGTTTCTCTTATGAAATGATTTTTTAAGGAAGTAAAAAAGTCAAATTCAATAAAACTCTTTTGAAATCGACAAGACACTATTATAAAAACTGAGATAATTGAAGAAAAAACCCAATTACAAGAGGTAAGTTATCTTTACAAAGAACTATTTTTAGTGCTAATATTTTCTAACTTTATTTTTGATTTTTAGAAACAATTACTCAAGGAATCACAGGTGAGGATTCACAATAACGTCGAAGGATTATTCTCAATATAAATCACATGAGGTAAACACAAAATAAACACAAAAATAACTCAAAGATATTTCAGAGATTACGCTTCAGAGACTTTAGTCAATACAGCGAATCAATACAATATCATATAATAAGTTTACTAACAAAAAGGATTGCACGAATGTAAAGAGTCACAAATAATTTATAACAGGTTCAAAGGGTTTGCGAAGGATAAGTTTTATACTTAGTTAATTATACTCCTTTATTAATATAA